TGGTAAACCAAAACGAGGGAAAATAACTTTCTTGAAGAACTTACTTACCACGCGAGCATCATTGGTTGGAGTAGCAATTGCTTCGACCCATTTTGAGACATAGTCAACGACCACTAGAATATATCGATTTCCATAGGAAGAAGGGAATGGTCCCATGAAGTCTCCAAAATTTGATAGGCGGTCGCACACCTAACAAAAATAATACCTAACTAGACCTCCTAATTATGTAGCAGGGTAAGTCAGGGTCGATCCCACAGAGACTATGGTTCACCTAAACTATCTAGACTCAAGTTATTACTAAGCAAGTAACAAATTCAAAGATGAAGAGTATTAACTACTAACTACGAAATATTAAGAAAATAAATTAACACGAAGATTAATATAAACTAAAACACCTAGAATTAGGAATCCCCACTAATATAGATCAATACGTCAAAATAATCCCTTTCCCACAATCAAATCAAAGTATTCCACAGGACGGGTGCTCCCTACAACAAATACTAAGAGTTTCTTTCGATCAACTAATAGCTTCCCTAATATGCAATCATACCTATTTTCATGGAGTCATACATATTAAAGACATTAAGAACAACATCCCATAAGTCCTAGCAAGAATAATTAGCTATTTTCATGCATAAAGATTCTTACTTTTAATTAGGGTTCTAAAATCGATTAAGAATCAACTTTCATTGTAAACCTAATCACATTTAATAATACTATTTCTAGTTAATCATTGATGATAAAACCAACCCTAATAAAGAGGAATTATAAATTAAAATAAATATGGGATTGAGAATCAAACAACGTATTAATCCATATTAGGGTTCAACCTAACTCTAGATTATAAAACTACTCACACATGTTGATTAAATAAACGAAATAATTAACGAAAGAAAACATCATAACAATAATAATAATAAGAAATAAAGAGAAGAAGAAATACTTGAATAAATGGAGAACTTGAATTAATCTTCAATGGAACAAAGTTGGAAGAACAAGAAGAAAAACCAACGTATAAATTGGAATAATTGTGATGATAAAAGTCCCCCTTTTCTATCTTGTTATTAGTCTATATATATCCTAGGAATTTTAGTGGGCTTAGGACTCCAAATTAACATAATTAAGGTCCTAAAACGCAGCAATTAGGAGCCACCACGGGTAGACTGTGGAGAGCTGTGTTCGACCACAGGCAGGCCGTGGAGAAGGCTGCCATAGCTGCTCTTTGCCATGTGAAAACGAGTTGGCCACAGGATGGCCGTGGAGAGAGTTGTACGCCCACAGGCAAGCCGTGGAGGTGGCTGCCATGTCCATTATTGTACGTAAATTTCTCCCTTTAACAAGTCGAATCACGATCAAAGCAAACCTCTAGCAAATCTAGCCCAATTCCTACAAAAATCAAAATAAAACAAACCAAGGAGAACAATATTGAAATATAAAGAATAATAGCTCTAAAAGATTAAAACTATGTAGAAAACATGATAAAAACCCGCAAATATAACATATAAAATGAATATATAAACGTGTTATCATTTCTAAATATAATTTTCTTTCTCTAATATTATTTTTTCTCAAAATAATTCAAGATATATTTAATTTCAAAATTCAAATTTGATTTCCAAAATTTTATTATCCAAAATACTACAGCATATTTCATTCCCTCTCTTTAAATTTTTTTCTAAAAGCATCATTCATATTTTTTTTCACCAAATTTTAAAAATATTTGTGTTTGAAAGAACATGTGTAACCACCTGAGTAACCATGAATACATGATATACTTTTTTTTTTTGTGTAATTATGGTCATGTGTAATTATTGTGTTCTCTACATATTTTATAATGTTCTTTATTAGAATACATGATATACTTTATATTTGTTTGTAACATACAATAAATTATTAATACTATTTTTATTCCATATGTCTACCTTTATATCATATAATAATCTTTATTAGATCTTTTAATGAAATATTTTTAATGTCCATGTCTTTTTTATTGTAATTGTAATATACTTTCATTGTCATAAAATGTTCATTGCTTATAATGAAAATGTTCTTTAAATTTAGTCCTTACGCCATACTAGTTAAATTTAAACGGGATAATTCAAACAATGTTATTATAGTTTCTTCATGTTCTTTATTAATATTATGGATGTTCTTTGGATCTAAAAATCAATCATCAATAGATGATGTCCAAAAGAATATCGTCGTGAATCTTCATGATCATGAATTAAAAAAAATACACAATTATTAAATGTTAATTAATAAAGAAAAACATAGAATTAATAAATAATATTTAAGATGAATATACTAATAATTAAAAATGACTTTACAAACTAATTTTAAAATGACATATGCTATACCAAAAAAATGTGCATCACTCAATACCTCAAAGAACATATGAACCAAAATCAAAGAATATTAGGGATAAAATAAAGAACATAAGTGATGTAACAACAGAACATATATATAAGGAGTAAAACATCTTAGAAATTAAAACTCAAAAGAACATAAGAGTTAAAACAAAGAACATGAACATAGAAGAACATATTATTCAAATAAATAGAACATTATACCTCAAAGAACATAGTTTGCATTGTAAAGAACATATAATTTAGATTCAAAGAACATATTAATCAGATTAAAGAGCATATTCCATAATAATTAACAAAATGAATATAGAACAAATAAATGATAAAAAGAACATTCATCATAATTAGAAGAACATCATCTTCAACCTCAGAAAATTATACAAAAATAGTTTTTTAAGAAAAAAACTCCTTTTATTAAAATATCCATAAATTATGAAATTTAATTACAAAAAATATAATCTCTTTTGATTATAAAAACCCACAACTTACGAAATTAAATAATTTAAAAGTGCATTATCATTATCATCAACATCATAACTATAATGATAAAATTTAAATAAGAAAAAAATAAAAGTAAAAAGAATCTTCTCGTCATTTGATTACAAACTCCTCAAATTCACCATCAACATTATCAAAATCTTCATTGTCATATGTATTATCAATAGATTTACAGTTGGAATCATGTAGAAATTCAAACTACGCTACCAAACCATTGTAATCTCTCTATCATTCTCTCTGTATTTCAAAATTGTAATTATATCTCACCAAAAATATAAAATCTAATTATGAAAACTATTAATGTGGAAAATAACTAACAAATCCCTTAAATTATGTAGAGAATTATTTTGATTTTTTTTTATTTTATTAAAAGTCAAAAACTACCGTTATTTCCAGCAGGGTGTACCATGAGCATGGTATACCCTGGTGTACTATGTAAATTCAGGCTATCATAAGCTTTGTGTATATCTTCTCTATATACTTAGCTATTATAACCTACTACTGTACGCCTATAAAGGCTTCTCATATCTCAATGGAAATTATCAAGCTTTCCACTACTCATTCTTAATATCTCATATGTGGCACGTGATCAAACTCAATACCACATTGATATCATTCGGGTTTTTAACAAATACACTTTATTTTTTATTTGCCACTTAAACCTCTATACATCCCCGTCGCCATCTCTTTCTAACAAAGACGAATTTCAAATATACGATGGAAACGACGAAGTATCAAACCTGCCCACTTGTATTCCCTACAATCAAACTTCCAACAAAAAGAATTGGGTTTTTCTATATAGTAACCCTGTTAATTTCACTTTTCTACGTTGTGCCTCAACTTATATCACTTTCTACACGCGTAACCCTAATATACATTTTGTTTCCATACGGGAACCTTGCCGTTATCTCGTCGTTAAAAATTTTATGTTAATGGGGCCCACTCTCTATTTATTAATATTTTTTTATCGATTTGCGAGTTGAAAAACCTTCCGTTAAAGGTTTTGGGGGCAAATTGATAAAAAAAATATTTGATTAGGGGATTTTTCTCCACCAATCAGCATCCGACACGTGGGCCAGCCAGGTTTCGCCACGTGTCCTTCATGTAGGCCAATAGGAGTCTGCCACGTGTCATCAAGAGATTCGTCCTCCTTGGACCAATTGCAATGTGACACGTGTCCACCCATGCCAAATGGGAAAACCGGCCAACAAGGCCCAATCATTGTGGGAGGCCCAGTCAGCCTTAAGTTTAACCTAAACCTAGTACTGGCACGCATCCCAAGGCATATAAATATGCCCATTAATCCTCATTAAGGGGGATTACACACATTTAACACTCTCACCTAGAGAGACCCAATTACTTTTATTTCCGCATTAATTATTCCTTAATCAGGTGCTAACTTGACCGTCGGAGGCGGATCTCCAATCGTCCGGAGCATCCGTTTGTTTTGCAGGTACAGGCGTCCGGTTCCAGTCTCAGAATTGTAACTCTCCCGCAGGACATCAGAAAACCCCGAAACAATATTAATAAATAGAGAGTGGGCCCCATTAACGGAATTTTTTAACAGTGGGATAACGACAAGTTACCGTATGGAAACAAAATGTATATTGGGATTACAGTGTAAAAAGTAATATAAGTTGGGACACAACATAGAATGGTGAAATTAATAGGGTTACTATATAGAAAAACCTAAAAGAATTTATTGACAATTACAAGTATACGTTTAGAAGAGGATAGTTAGGTGCTTAGGTCATAGTTTCTACTGACGTGGCTAATTAATCCAAAAATGAGTTGACAATTGACAAACCAAACCAACTCATAACCAAAATTTTTAGCTAATTCTAAGGATCAAGCAAATCACACGTGGATGCTACGTCAATGTATATTTATTATAGGCTTATAGCAAATCACTTTCCCTTCGTTATCTCCACCTATATACCAAATACCAATTCACGTGTTCTTTTACTTTCCTATTCATGTTAAAATACTCTCTTGATCTCATAATAAACGATCGAGTTTACCTATATTCGAAATTAGTTATCACGTTTTATAATTAATCGTACCAATAATACAGAGTATGTGATTGAGTGATTGGTCTTACTTATCTCATTATTTTTATCAAAGATGATGATGATATAGTTGATAGTGTCTTATACGTCTCTTTATATACTCGTGTAATCTGCTTACACTTGTTGACAACTAAACAATTGTTAAATCATCTTCTTTAACGTTTCAAAAATTTTGATCATAAAATTAAATACATCCCTTTAAATCTTTGGGAATTTCTGGGTTGTTTTTTGGAGGAATTATTTTTCCAGAATTGCATTTTAAAAATCCCAAGAAATTAGCTTTTGAAATTTCAGCAGGTTAATTGCAATTTATATATTTGTTTAACAGAGGAAATGTTACTGAAACCCATTATTGTTTCTTCTAAAAGATAGATCCTTTTTATTTTATTCTTTTTATTTTATTTTTATTGCAGGAAATTAAAATACGCCAAAACCAAGATCACAATCAATTTCAGAGTATTTGCATGTAAGCTTCCTCGTTTCATCTTTAATTTGATTCTCCCATAATATTTTTTGGGAATGATTAAAAAAGGTAGAGAATATTCGATTATAGCTTTACTTTTGCTGTAAAAGGTTGAATCATAGTTTGGGTTTTTAATTTTGTTTTTATATTTAATTTATAAATACTTCGTTTATATTTTGGGTACATTTGACTAAGTGTCTAAGTGTATACTTTTCTTGTCTTATGACTTCTGAAGTAATAAGTCAACCAATTAATTCTTGTTCTTTTTGTATTGGAATCAATTTGTCTATAATTCATTGATTTGTAAGGTTGTGGGTTAATCTATAATAGTTGATTACGACATAATCGTATTACATTATTACTCCCTCGGTGTCTTAATACATGTCGGTTAATTTAGTGGGGTGGCCGTGACAGTTGATGTGATACAAAACAAAAATTATTATTCAAATTGTTGTGGTTAATTCAAAATGAAATTATGAATAAAAGTAAGGTACGGAAGGAGTATCTTATAAAACTTTCTCGTAAATTATATCTAGTGAAGTAGTCTTACATTTGTTCAGTGATCAAGTTTCCATTGGAGAGAAGGTTGCATATATTTGGCCCTCTTCACGTGGACTACTACACGATTTTAAAGAAAGATTTGGCTAATGTTAATGACTAAAATGTATTATGCAAGTGATTATACAACTGTCTTAGGCGAAAGCCTTGTGCACCTTAGAGTTGGCTAGTTAAGCCAAAGTATCAGATCAGTTGGAAAGTTGAGTTATGCATTGATTCTTGAATTTTTTACCGAGTTGGCCAATTAAGACAGCTTCCGAGATCAGTTTTTGGTTAGCAAAGTATGTTCGTTCCCCTGGTCTGGCTCCATGATATTGCTATCTGTTTCTAAAAGGCTACTTATACAGGCTTTTAAGAAATAAACTGATGTTTCGTAAAGTTATTTGAAGCTGCTTGTAGCTGTGAGGACAATGTGGCTGCTTAGCTACCGAAATCACTTCTACAGCAAGCATAATTTGTTTAGAGGTTTTAGCTTTTGTGTTGGGTTTTGAAGAGTCATCCTGTCCTTATATGCCTTTTCCTCTAAATCTCTATGCTTTGTACAATTTTCTATTTGCTTATGCTTCTGTTCTTACATTAAGGTAACTTATTGTGACACCATGCTTGGAAACGGAGTTCTTGGTATTCTTTCAGAAACTTGTAACAAGTGGGAAAGACGAGCTCCTTTAACACCAGCTCATTGTGCTCGACTTCTACACACTGGAAAAGGTAAATCTGGTGTAGCTCGGATAATTGTCCAGCCATCTACCAAGAGAATCTACCATGATGCCCTTTATGAAGAGGTTGGCTGTGAAGTATCTGAGGACTTATCAGAATGTGGTCTTATTGTGGGAGTCAAACAACCAAAGGTAGTTTGATTAATGCTTGTCTTGCCAATGAATACACTTATTGTTTTCTTCATAAAATGGTTTTAAAATGAATAATCATTTGGCGGCAGTTGGAGATGATCCTTCCTGAGAGAGCCTATTCTTTCTTTTCACATACCCACAAAGCACAGAAAGAAAGCATGCCTATGCTAGACAAGGTGTGTATAGCTATGTTATGTTGTGTTTCCTGCTATGTGATTCATGTGAATTGTGATGGTTGTGCTGCAGCTTATACATATGTCACTTGTAGATTCTGGCAGAGAGTGCAACTTTGTATGACTATGAGCTCATTGTTGGAGATCATGGGAAAAGGTTACTGGCATTTGGAAAATATGCCGGCAGAGCTGGAATGGTCGACTTTTTGCATGGCTTAGGACAACGTATGTTCCATCTCCACTCTATTTCTTTAGCTGCTTTCTTGTAGAAATATTCTTTGAAGATTTGAGCACTCTTTCTCCGGGCTAGAAAGCTCAAACATTTATTAGTAATATGATCTCCAAAAAATACATTGCATAAGAAGTAATAAGAACACAGCATCAGTCACTAAAAGCAAGAATAACTTAGATCCAATTATCCTGACATCAGCAGCATGTATGTACATCAATAGAGCACTAACAGAGAAATCATTTATCTTGGTATCTCTTCTGCCTTCCCAGCTCAGTATCGTAAGTGCAAAAACAGCATCATAGTGTTGTAAGTTTTGTAAGTTGTACTACACAGCCTTATTCATGCAGTAACAAAGAAGCTGTCAATTTTTATTTTTGTAAAATAATGTTCTCTGCTGTGTTACCCTTCCTCTCTCATTACTTTTCTTCTAATTTTATGTTTTGATCAAGAAAAAGAATCTCTGCCTAATTACTAAGGGAATATACAGATATTGACACATCAATTTGGTTCTCTGGCTTTCTAATTTTATTGTTTTGTGTCTAAATGATCTTGATTTTACAAATTTACAGGTTATCTTAGTTTTGGATACTCAACACCCTTCCTTTCCCTGGGTTCATCTTACATGTATACTTCTTTGGCTGCTGCTAAGGCTGCAATCATATCCGTGGGTGAAGAGATCTCCTCTCTCGGTCTTCCATCTGGCATCTGTCCTCTTGTTTTTGTCTTTACTGGAAATGGAAATGGTATTACTCTGCCTTGGTAATCCTTGTCCAATTATGAATGTATTTCCATTCCTGCATGATAATGAGAGTGTATTAGATTTGATTTTTCCCAACAATTAGTTAACTATGTAACGACTCAATGATTTATTAACTTAATTCTTTTTTTTTTTTGTTCATAAGTGAACTATTTCTGTCTCTTGATCAGTTTCTCACTTACCATACTCCTTTCCTATACTTCCTTTTTCTATGAAACTGTTGGAAGTTTGGATCAATGTGTGGGTTAGGTTTTGGTTGAGACATTGTTGTTACCGAGACTAAGTTATATGTTTTGATATCTATCATAGTTTCACAAGGCGCACAAGAGATACTCAAGCTTCTTCCTCATACCTTTGTGGATCCTAGCAGACTCCCAGAATTGTTTGAAAAGGTAATCAGTCTATTCATAAGAGTAGTAGTTCTACTTAAGACTTAAGAGTACCGATAAGTGTATACAAAATTTTTTGTGTAGCATTAGGCGCATAATAGAATGCACTCCCTTCATCAAGACTTGTCACATTGTCCTAAGTAATTTTTCGTTTTTTTGAAATATTTACATGATTAACTAAGGATCCTTTGTTTTAATTGTATGCTCCCTCCCTCTCCCCTTCACTTATTACAATAGGGGTATCATGCAAATCCAAGCATGATCTTTTATTATTTTAAGAAGTGTGACGGACTTTTTCTGTTCATCATTTTTATGTAATATACTAGCTTCTTACATTTTCCAAAAATCATTTAGCAATATCACATCTCTATTGTGGAGTGAGGTTAACTAAAAGGTAGCTTTACTCCATTGCAAATCAGAGAATATTTTTATGACCTTTTTGAGATGTTGATGCTTTTCTAATTTTCTGCTTTCTCAAAATTGTGGGAATAAATTTTTAACTAATTTAATATTTTGGGTAACAGTTAACCGGAAGGAGAATTCAAAGGAACTGGGCTAACTTGTGTGATATGTGTTTGGTGTTCTGAGGACACCTTGCCCTTTTATTTGTGTACTCTGTTGGCTGCTCATGTGTCAAACATTACACCTTATTATGAAATAAAAGTCAAAGAATGACAGTAAGCAGTTTGGGATGTCTGCCTAAAATCTTTACCGCAACTGTACCTGAAATGATTATAATAACATAATCCTGAGAATAAACTGGCTGTCTGCCTGTCTGGACATACTATGTTAATTAACAATAATGGCACGTCTGCATGCTCTGTGGAGAGTGTTTAGGCAGAGTGTCCTGGTCCCTTGTCTTCTCTTAGCTGTTCGTTGTTTCAATTTTTAGCTTGCGATGAAAAATATAAGCTTTTCACTGGGTATATAATCTGTGTTTAAAGTGGAAATTTCTTTCGCTTGTCTGTTGTATGCTCAAGATTATTTGTTCTAGGTCTACTGTTGCTTTTCTACCTATTTAGCACCCTTGACATATTTCATACTGGATGCCAGAATCAGCAATCTCAGGGATCAAAGAGACTCTTCAAAGTATATGGTTGTGTTGTAACGAGTAAAGATATGGTTGAACCAAAAGACCCAAGTAAAATCTTCGATAAAGTAATGCTCTTCCCTCCCTCAAAAATGTGTTGAAATTTTTGAAACAATTTCATTATTATGGCAATTTATGTAAAAGTTTCTCTAACACTGCATTTTTTTTTTTCTATTCAGGCTGACTACTACTCACACCCAGAGCATTACTCTCCAATTTTCCATGAAAGAATTGCTCCATATGCATCTGTCATTGGTGTGTGACTTATTTCCATTTTAATCTGTCAATTGTTATGAACCTCAGAGTCATTTTTTGTTTCCATTATAGGAATATTGTATTATTATTATTAATTCTCAGTTGGACTCTGAATAACTTGTGCTAGTGCAGTGCTATATTTTTTCCATTGATTATTATTAAGTGAGATGCTTTTATAGTTATAGACTCTCGACTTCTCGAGTCCCAATCCATAGATGCTTTAGAGTTTGGACTGAAAATAGAACATAATCTTCCCAGTCACTGTCAGTGCATTCTAGCTATTCCATTTAGTATACACATTACTACTAGTAACTTTGAAAGGGAGTTGAGCATAATTAATCCTTGGATTTAAAAATTCTTTTCAGATTATGGAAAAACATTTCACCACTTCTCAGAAAATTCTAAGGAAAAATAAAACTATCGACTGATCCAATTATGCTAAAAAATGAAAATTTTCTGCTATTTATAGTTTGTATTGTCTCTGTGTAATTTGATTTCTTATTTATTACTTGATTTTTTTTGGGAACAGTCAATTGCATGTACTGGGAACAAAGATTTCCTAGGTTTCTGACCACCAAGCAGCTTCAAGATTTAAAGAGCCAAAGATGTCCACTTGTTGGTATTGCCGATATCACATGTGACATAGGAGGATCCATTGAGTTTGTTAACCAAGCCACCACCATTGACTCACCTTTTTTTAGGTAACATGATCAAAGTTTCTTTTTACAATTTAGGAAATGCAAACATGTAACTTGGTTGCCTCATTTCTTAGTTCACCCTAGTTCTCTTCATCTGTACAGCTGACAAGATGATTAGTTTCTAGGAGATTATTTGTATCAAACTGTAAAAAACTCTGGCAAAATCAGTAGAAATTCAAATAAACCTGGAGGCCATATAGGATTGAAATCCTTGGTGTAGTGTAAATAGTAAGTAGGCTGTAGATTAGACTTGCAGATGTAGACTTCCCTATATCAGTTGACTGAAATTGGGCTCATGTTATAAAATTTACTGTCTGCAGGTTTGATCCACTGACGGAATCATACCATTATGACATGGAGGGTACTGGTGTAATATGCTCAGCTGTCGACATCCTCCCTACTGAGTTTGCCAAAGAGGTATGCTATATGTTGTAAAGATAGATTTTTTTTTTTTTGGCATTTTATAGCTTGTTTAAGAGATGTTGGTTCATTCTGGGTTGGAAAATGGCTGTTTAAGTCATAAGTATTAAGGAGTAACACATTTTTCTCTAACAATATGTGCTTATGTGTAAAGGCTTCCCAACATTTTGGCACTATCCTGTCACAATTTATTGGTCACTTGGCTTCCACAAAAGATTTTGATGTTCTACCTCCCCATTTGAAACAAGCTTGTATAGTACACAGGGGAGCACTTACACCCTTATATGAGTATATTCCTCGTATGCGAGAATCTGCTTCAGAGTAAGCTTCTGAATCTTTTGTGTCTTCTGTCAATAGATTATCTGTTACCCTATTTTACATGGTTTCCCCTTTTCCAAATTTGGGTTACATCATAATATGATATGAACATCTTTTTTTCTTCTTTGTTTTCATATTTTGCAGTGAATTGTCCCAGAATCTGCCAGATTTCCATCCTAATAAGAAAACACACACGCAATTGGTAACTTTCTGTAACTAGTTTCCATTTCACGCTTCATACAGTTTTCCTTTACTTTATGCTCTATAGTTCACTGAAACCAGTGTAAGTTATCCTATTCAAATTATCTTTTGGACCGTAGGGTTGATCATTTGGTTTCATGGAACCTTTCATTTCAGCAATAATTTCCTCTATATAGGAATAATTGGTAATTTGGGCAGGTGTCTTTGAGTGGTCATCTGTTTGATGACTTTTTGATAAACGAGGCTTTGGATAGAATTGAAGCAGCAGGAGGCTCCTTCCGCTTGGTGAAATGTCATGTCGGCCAGAGTGCTGATTCTACTTCATACTCGGAGCTTGAAGTATGTAACTCTGAACCACTCCCATCCCCATTTTTTATTTCGATATTTAATAAAAACTAATCTTCTTTTAAGTTCTAATTATATTTTCCAAAAAACCGGATAATAAAAGACTAGTGGGAGCACTCTTATCTCATTAGTTTGATAGTCTTTCATGAGTTACATCTTGATTCATGCTTCTAGTTGATTGATTATTGCTTCATTTTTGTTTGTGATTTTGTTATGTTTGTGACAGGTTGGAGCTGATGATAGCAAAGTTTTGGACCAAATTATTGATTCGTTAACATCTCTTGCCAATATAAGGGGAAAAAAGGGGACTGTAGAGAATCAACCAAACAAATTTTCCCTGACTGTTGGCAAGATCCAGGAGAATGGTTTAGATCATGGAAATCAGACAAAAAGAAAAGCAGGAGTACTAATTCTTGGTGCTGGTCGCGTATGCCAACCAGCTGCTGAGTTTTTAGTATCTATCAAAGACCTTTCTTCTTGCCCTTTGTTTGAGAAGTGCATGGATTTGAATATTGATGTGGAAAATGATATCCAAGTCACTGTTGCATCTCTATATCTAAAGGACGCTGAAGAGGTGTGTTGGAAAATATTATCATCCAAAATCTCTTTATGTTGTTGGCATTTAAGTCATTCAGATATAAATGAAATCAGTCATCAGAACATCTTCCCTTGTAGCTTTCTTAATTTCATTGAGCCGTAGATGGCACTGTGGCTAATTTTATTTTTCAGCACTCCTTTAAAGATAATATTGTCAAAATTAAAATCCTAGGATGCTTTTAAAACAAAATTCTCCACCTGTCCCAAAATAATATTTGTAATTGTCTTGTTTGTTTGATTTTCCCATAAATTCCTCTCAAGATCTTTGCAATGCATTTTATTTTGGTGAATGGTACTCAATTTGGGATAGATCTCCATAAAACACGTAACATATCATACAATCAAAATGCCATGTTATGCTTGTATTAATGGTGACAGTGAACCAAGTGGGTTGACCGTTTGAGCTATGTAGCTGTTTCAACTTAGAATGTCTGTTGCATATTTGGTTCATTCATAGATTATCCCTAGCAGGCTAGAATAAAACTCAGATTCAGGTGCTATATTGAACTTGTAATGTATGTTGTCTGTAGGTCATCCAAGGTATTCCAGATGCTATTGCTGTGCAGCTAGATGTGTCAGACAAAGAAAGTCTGCACAAGTATGTTTCACAGGTAATTTTGAAAAATCTTAAAGAGACTGCACTTTGCTTTAAGGAAATAATCATAACTGTGTGATATGATTATGAATGAAAATTTCCAGAGGTTTGCCTTGCTTTTAGTTACATTTGGATAGGCATCTTAACCACTTTATGTCTCTGTATATATTCACAACCTTCTCTTATAATCTAAATTCTGACTGCGGATGACTGGTGGAAAAGCCACAACTATGTATATTTATAGACTAATAAGCTAATATATCAGGCCATATGCTTTAAAGATTTTACCTATATATATATATATATATATATATATATAGAGGTGGCATCTCATAGAATTCTGCTTTAACAGTGAGATTTCTGCTCCATTGTTATTTAATTTCAAGGCTTATAAGCTTGTATTGTGATTTTAAAAGATGAAACTTATTGCTGTGTGAATCTCAGGTTGAAGTTGTTATTAGTCTACTTCCTCCGAGCTGCCATGTTGCAATAGCGAAAGCTTGTATTGAGGTACCTTTGGTTTATAATTTATTTCATGTTTTTTTCCAACCCCGTAAGCTATCTGATTACTAACTACCATGCATATGTATATGGAACTGTCTATTTGTCAAAAAAAAAAAAAAAAAAAAAATGCAAAGTAATACAAGCAGTTACACCTAAATGATGAGGAAAAGTATTCATATTCAACTCTTAGGTCAAATAAACATATTGGCTATGTGGGAATATAAAGAGAGTAAGGTCTTGCAGTGGTGTGGCTTTTTGTGTGTGATTGTGTATGCATGTTCAGATTCGGATTATTAGGGCAGTGATACAATTTTCTGGACTAAATGATGCTGCCCCCTTTTCTAGGCTTCAATTTTAGCTGATATACAACATTACTTGCAAGCAGAATTGTTAATTATTATAATTTCATGTAATAAGCTGTTTGCTAAAGATGGTAGCAAAACTAGCAACTGCTGGCATGTTACCTGTTTCAATGTCTCAGTCTGCAGTAACACATCATTAAATACTTAAATACTATGTTTATTGGTCCATAGGATGATTAGACTAGCGCTTAATATAGAATTTTGTATGTTACAAAAAGTGTGCTGCATCCAGCAACAATGGAACATTGATGGCAGCAATACAGTACTCAGCTAATCATGTAAAATTGCATATACAATCATATGAATTCTTTTATTTTCACGATGCAGCTTAAGAAGCATCTGGTTACTGCTAGCTATGTTGATGATTCTCTGTTGAAGCTTGATCAAGATGCGAAGGATGCTGATATAACAGTTATTGGTGAGATGGGCCTTGATCCTGGGATAGGTAAATCTACAATGAACTTCTTTTTTTTTTTTTTTTTCTTTTTTTTTTTTCCTTTCCCCCCACCCCCCCCCCCCCCCCCCCCCGCGGGTTCCCCCATAGATCTTGACATTTTATTAATAGATGAAATGGAAAGTTCATAGTAGCTCTATACATCAGATTCCATCTTTAGTGAATGTCTTCATTTCCCTGTGTACTGCACTAATAGTAACACATCTCAAGATCGGAAACCTGAGCTCATTTGGATTATGGACTTTTACTTTGTATACTTGTGATAGATGATAAACTGTTAATGTGAAGGACTGTAGAGAAGACTTAACCAGCCTCTGAATACATCCTCAACTTTGGTTTTGCAAATTCTTGAGTATGCATTTGACATTTATCCAATGTAATCATTTTAAGTGTTGCAGATCACATGCTGGCAATGAAAATGATAAACGAAGCACATACCAAAGGGGGAAAAGTTTGTTCATTTACTTCTTATTGTGGAGGTCTTCCGTCTCCAGCAGCCGCCAACAATCCGTTAGCCTATAAATTCAGGTGTGTGTCCCCTTTATATCTCAGTTATACCAAGAAAGTTTTTTTCTTTTTGGGGGGAGGGGGGAGAGGGGTTTGCCTTATGTATTCAATGCATGTAAACATAGAGATTGGTATATATAAAAGAACTGATGACATGAATCATCAGTTCCTCCTTAAATATGTTATTAACTGTTGACATGATTCCAGTTAATCTGTGTAATAATTACAAAATTCTTTACCTCCTTGGCTCCTTGCCTAAGATAAGGTGCACAAAACTGACAATGCCGCAGGAAAAAATGGTAATTTTTGCGGCTTGTAATCAAATGCTAGTTATTTCTGCTTAAATATTTGAGCAGTTTGAATTAAAATCTGATACCTAATTATCTTTTTGTTAGAATATTTTACACAAATAGTAGCAGCAAGGCCAGTCGACAGTAACTAACATATAGATGATAATTGAAAGCTACTTCAACCTTAAATCACTACCTCACCGAATTTTACTTTCAACTTTAGCAGTCAATTTACTAATCACTACTTGAAAGCTTTTGCGGAAATACCTTTCAAAGAACGAACCTGTTTTAGAATCAACAAATGTTTATTTTGCAAAAGCTCGAAGTTTGTCGCCCACATATAATACTTATTTCCTCCTTTTGTGCATTCAGTTGGAACCCTGCTGGTGCTTTGAGAGCTGGCCGTAATCCTGCCACATATAGATCTCATGGAGAAGTGAAACAAGTTAATGGTAAGCTCCCGTAATGTTTGAAAGTTTAATTCAATATTTATCCCAGGCTTATTCTACCGCCTCCACCCACTCTTCAGTTAAAAAGAATTTTGAATCCTGTGTTTGGTGAAAGCTGCCTTTGTTCTAATAATTATGGTTAAACTTAGCCTCTGTCCAAATTCTATACATCAAGCTGCCTTGAATATTTCTCAAGGTTTCTTTGAATATACTTGGAAAATGCTTTGTACTATAAATTTATTTCACAATCCATTTTTATTTATTTTTGGTCTGCAGGGGATAATCTGTATGATTCAGCTGTGAGGTTTCGGCTGCCTGACTTTCCAGCTTTTGCATTAGAAGTCCTTCCAAATCGTAACTCTCTGATTTATGGAGACATCTATAAAATTGGAGATGAAGTATCAACAATCTTCCGAGGAACTCTTCGTTATGAAGGCATGGCAATCATTTTAGCTCTGACTTTGCTATCTAGGCCATTTAAAACTTGACATTGTGGAAGCGAAACATAGTTTGTTACTGAAGTTTTAATTAATTCTGCTCCAGGTTTCGGTGAGATTATGGGGACATTAGCAAGGATTGGTTTCTTTGACACTGAAGCTCAAACAATCCTTAAAAGTTCCGAGAGACCTACTTTTGTAACATTTACACTGAAGCTCCTTGATATTGAGGAGACTTTATCAGGCTCTGATATCGGAGAGACTGATATTGCAGAAAGGATCATATCACTTGGACATTGCAAAGAACAAGCAGTTGCCTTAAAGACTGCCAGGACAATCATGTGAGTTTAGAAGTATTTCTGTGCTGATATTGAGTTTGTAGGAGTCTAAGGCTCTAAGCTGTCCTTTGATAACTCATAGCTTCTTCCCTGTTCTCTTGTGATGATAACTGGTTGCTTGATTCTTTTAATTTCTTGACTAGATTCCTGGGATTTTGTGAGCATACATTAATACCTTCTACATGCAAGAGTGCATTTGATGTCGCTTGTCTCCGCATGGAAGAAAGACTTTCTTATTCTATCATAGAGCAGGTACTACTCCTCACGCACTGTACTGAACCTTTACTTGCTGTAGTGACATCCCTTTGCTATGTTGGAAAACCTACCCAGAGTTCATTCATAAAAAATAACTGTACTCATCTGCCTGTGTATATAATTTATGCAATTTTCTTGTTTTGTAATTTATTATCATGACTGTGGGTCTATCAGGATATGGTCCTTCTGTATCATGAAATTGAGGTAGAATTCCCAGAATCCCAAAAGATAGAGAAACACCAGGCAACTCTCTTGGAATTTGGAAAGACCGAAAAAGGAAGAATGACAACTGCCATGGCACTGACTGTAGGAGTTCCTGTAGCAATTGGAGCCCTGGTAACATCTTTCACCGTCATCTTTTCTGTTGTATTGCTCAAACAAATGCTTTAAGGCTGATCTTCTTCCCCTTTACTTTTGGGTGTGAAATAACAGCTCTTGCTTTCAAACAAGATAAAGTCTAGAGGAGTTTTGAGGCCCATCGAACAGGAAGTTTATGCTCCAGGTAAATCTAAACTACTATGTATTTCATTAGAATCATGTGTGCACATATCTCTGAGAAAAAACAGATTCTACTAAAACTTCATTGAAGAACGGACCATATCCAATTCTTTAAACTTCCAATTTGTAATTTCATCTTGTTGCTCTTTTTGCCTCACGTACAATATAGGTCGTCATTAATCCACTGTGACATTTTCTTTCAAGTGAAACATTTCCACCTTATCTGATATGCATGAAAGTTCAATTAGAATATAGTAAAACGGGCAGAACATCAATATTAGGGCGTTACAAGAGGTTACTTACTAGAAATTCATATTACCATGCATAAAAACAGTCCTGTTCTTCATGCATGGGGATGTAGTTTCCTTTCTAACCATCACATTACATATTTCTACACCAAACTGTTTATGCCATTTTCTACCTTCGCCTTTTACATCAACCTGATGCACATATATTTTGGTTTTTGCAGCGCTGGATTTGATACAAGCATGTGGAATCAACTTGTTGGAGAAGATAGAATGAATCTCAGTATATATCTACCAGTTTCAATCAACTAATTTAATCCTCGTATATATTTAGTCCAATAAACCCAATTAGTTCATTGAAATTTAGGCTCTAAACCACGACGTTTGTCAGATTTTCTGTACAGTTCATGTTACTACTGTAATTAGCCATGGCCGCCCCTGACAGATCAAGAGCTGTAAGATGTATTTATATACAACATCATAACAGTTAAACACCTTCAAATTATAAGGATCATTCAAATTATAATACCAATTTGAGGTACCGAAATCAATGTTCTTTCTTCACAGCATTTTGTGGTTGGATTTAATTTTTTATTTTTATTTTTAAAAGTAAAAACTCCATATTGTAAACACAAATTTTAAATCTGCAAAATATAGATTCAAAACAAATGAAACTTTGACGTGTTTCACGAGCTGACTTGATTCTTGATTGAGGGCCGTCAAGGCTTAATCTCGATCGAAGATAGTTGATGCAGAGCTTTGACTTATTTTTGATGTAGACCTTTGATTTGAATTCTTGATTGAGGGCCGTCGAGGATTGATCTCGATCAAAAACTATTTGATGTAGAGGTTAAACTGCACAAACTTGTGATGCGCGTTTAGGGTTTTGAGAGGTTGTTTTATGATGCAGTGTTCTTGTTTCCTCCTCTTCTCAAATGAAATAGAGAGAGCTCTATTATAGAGTGAGTGACCCCTAGGATTAGGGTCATATTTGTATTGGGATTTTGACTTGGTAATCGTGACCCTTCTATTATAGATTAACCCATTTATTGAGTTCTAACCTTCAAAAAGAACGTATTAAATTAAAGGGCTAATTTAATATTTTTCACCCAAATTAAATAATTTAATTTAACAGTCAAATAACCATTAAGTCAACAATTTGATTTTTGACCTATATAAAATTCGATGTGGCACTTATATAAATTTTATGTGCCTACACATATATACAAAGGAGAAATAGTAGATGAGATTTACTGTACCAAGTTACCAACTTAGTTTTCGGTCAGGGTCCTTCTCCTTACCGTAAAAAAAATTGTTACCAACTTAGTTGACATCAGTATATTGGTTTTATTATCACATAAATTAAATATAATGTATACTCTTTTTTTTTCTCTGGCCTCTTAGACACATTATTTACTGTATAAAAAATAATCTGGACTGGCCCGTGAGAGGTGTCAGTTCAGTACCGCTCTTTCATCTTACCGTAAAAAAAAGATTATAGTATAAAAATTAAAGCAATTTAAATTTATCATATACTCATACTTATCTACTTTGTAAAAGCAAAGAAAACTTTGAAGAGAATTTATCATTTAGTTAGTAGTCACACTCTTTTTTTTGCCATCATAATCATCCATTAATCATCATAAAGTATATATTTATCCTTAATCTGTTCAACAAAGTACAACTTTGCCACCTGAAAAAATATATATAAATAGCAGTAAATGATTAATGATAGGTAACTTTTTCTAATATCTCATTCTCTCTCTTGTATTCACTGACTTAAACGTCAGAGGGGCGTTCCCGAGTCAACTCCTGTGTAGCTCTCAGACACCCTTACAAGGCGGGGCTCAAGTACATTTGGACATCAGATATTGGACATACTCGAAATACCCTTACACATCGAGGAGAATTCTGTTTCTAGAAACAAACGGGTTTAAAACTTTAAAAGTTACTTTAGGCCTTATTTGATTATACCAGTTTCCTGTAGGCACTCAAATTTCCTAAGTACACTAAATTACGGAGTAAATCGTTTGGTTAACAAAAAAAAAAAATAGAGGAAATTAAAATTCCTAAAATTTTCAATTTTCCACATAATGTTCGAATTACCCACCATCTAAGTAATTCAAATTTTCTAGTAACTTTAATTTCCTTCTTACCAACCAAATAAATTAAATCAATTTCCTATGAAATGTTTTTGGTTAAAAATATATCAGGATTGCAAAAGACAAATTCTCCACCGTACGGGCATAGGGTCTAATACATTGTTTTAAAAATAGTTATTTGGTTACTAAAATGAAAAATGATACCAATATATCATTGAATTTTCTTAAACACTCATATAAGATGTAGTTTTAATATGCGTATTTGTCTAATCTCCTCTTTCGTTATATTTCCTATTAGAGTGTATTGTGTTAATGCACAGGATATGTTATTCGTGAAAGAAAGCAATGTAGAGTTAAATGTTGGTAGTATTGAAGTCCCTTAAAAAGGTAAAAATTACTCCGTAGTAAATTAGTGGGATATGTAGTTATTGATATTAAAAAAAAAAAAAAAAAAAAGTAAAATGTATAAGATATGAGTATTGAGGTTTTAGAGGGTTGTGGTCAAGTGTTGTAAATATGACTCTTAAATAATAACGTAGATTATTTCATTATATATGTGCAATAGGAAGACTATTAATAAATACTTGCACAAAATAGTTATATTTTGCCCATTTATTAAATGTTTAATTTATTTTTTAAATTAAATTTTGTAAAATTTGACACAAGATCGAACTTTGTATTGTAAATTTATAATACGTAGTATACAATATACATAGAGACCAATTGATTTATTGGGTTGAACACCTCAACAATACTAGTAAGTAGTAACAGAATAGGTTCAACATTGACTTATTGGGCTTAACATGCGAAACAAAACCCTTCACTAAAAACCCAAAAACAATAAAACCCTAAAAAACCATAATATAACTCTAAACCTAACGCCGCTTCTCTCCCCTCATTTCCTTTCTCGCAAACCAAACCTTAGCATTCTTCATCGTCTGCTACAATGGTGATTTTCTCTCTCCTCCTCTTTCTCTCTCTTCCTGAATCTACAATCGTTATACCCTCCATTTTTTCATGGTTTTACAACAATTTAATGGTTTGTTTTTGGTGATGAATTTAACAGGGAAAAGGAACAGGGAGTTTTGGTAAGAGAAGGAACAAGACCCACACACTTTGTGTGCGATGTGGTCGCCGCAGTTTCCATCTTCAAAAGAGTCGTTGCTCTGCTTGCGCTTACCCCGCCGCTCGCACCAGGAAATGTATGAACTTAATATTGATTCTGTAAATTTTAAATTTGTTCATTTTCCGCGTTTTTTTGACGAAAAATGATGAAGATTTGAACTGGGGTTTTTGACTTTTTGTTAGTTGATTGTTTTTATGTTGCTATTTGATCATTATTTTACCTGTTTGATATTGGGTTAGTGTTATTTTGGATTAATTGTTGATATTTTTACACTTCATTCAGATTAATTTGATTTTATTGTCCTTTTTATATGGGGTAATTGTATTGACATTGAGTTGAATTTCATGATCTGAGTTCAGTTTTCTTTCATATTAAGTGAAATTCAGTGTATATAAATGCTTTTTTTTGTTCAATTTGGGGTTTGATTTAGCTAAATTATTTGATTGATTTCATAAATATTCGAGTTCACGTATTTGTTTTTGTTCTGCTCATGTATGTGTTTGAATTTTGTGACAATTTTGTTTCACTCTTTTGATTGATTATCAGTCATTGATATAAGCCTATAGTTTTCATTTGTTATTTTTTGTTACACAGTATTTATTTTTGTTAAGCCTATAGTTTTTGAGTTGGTTTAATATTTCCCTTGACCTGCTAGCCACCCTGCTAACAACCTGCGCCACCAATGACCTGCATTGACATGCCTATCCTGCCCGATAACCAGGTCTACTTGCATTATTGCTAACTTGTTATATGATATTGTATATAGTTGGGATTGATTTAGTCCGAATTGACCTTGCAATCGACATTCACTGTTTTGGCTATACGCGTGCTTTTTGACTTGGACCTCTATGTTATTCATTCGTTGAGTATTAGCTGCTTATATGTGCATTGTTTTACTTGAGTTGGTTATGTTGTTCTGATTGGTTGCTTTACTGCTGGTTTGTTTTATAAGTTCAGGGTGAGCTTTTATTGATTGTGGTGTTGGTTGTTTGTGGGTGGAATTTAGATAACTGGAGTCAGAAGGCAATCAGGAGGAAGACAACCGGAACTGGGCGTATGAGGTACCTCCGCAATGTACCACGTCGTTTCAAGACCGGTTTCAGAGAGGGTATAAAGCTAAATACTTTTAACGAATAGCTTGTTTGTTTTCGTTGTAGTGTGTTTGTGTAATGGTTGTTTTGCTTTGGTTAGGTACTCAAGCAGCACCAAGGAAGCTAGGCGCAGCTGCATCAGCTTAAAGAGAGTGAAAGTTTCAGAGGGGTTAATTTGGGTACTTCAAGCATTTAACTCCATTTTTGCATCTTTGAAGTGTTCAACTAGCTTTTTTTTTTTTTTTTTTTTTTTAAAAGAATTTGGAGACATTGTATCGTGATCAGAATGATACTACTGGATTTTGTTTCTCTCTATAATGTGTTAGCTTTAAATATTTTGAGGTTTAATGACGAGATTATTAATAGTTGCAGATTTTGAGATTTGGTGATGCGTATTGTATTCTATTACTCCATATTGTTGTCATTGGTAAGGTTGATTTAGTTCGATACTCTCCTTGGCCATCTTCCCTTCTGGATTTATCAGCAATATAGTTGCGTGCAATAATTTAGTGTAGATGTCCACCATAGTCTAGTGTAAAACAGAACAGGCAAGTCAGCTTTGCCATTTTTCTTTCTTGCAGGAATCACTACTTCAATTCTTTTATTAATGAAATCTACAACACCGTCAAGCAAATAATACATTTAGTTAGACAAACAATTAACGGTGAAAGAGATGTTTGAAAGAGTTTGATACACTGCTGGAACACAAATTTCCATTAATCATCGTATTATCAAACACAAAATACTAACTTAAACCTGCTCAATTGATCAATTCCTTCAGTAGTCAAATTCAACACTGGTTGAAATACTGTGCAAGCAAGAAGCTCTTGAGTAACATAACGGAAAAAAACACTGCAGTTGTTCAGGTTTGAAAGTAAGAGATAAAAGACCATCCATCATGTGCGGCAAAATCTGTTTATTTAAACTCGACACCAAATACTTTTGGGGTTCTTGGCAAACTCAGGCATGCATATTTGATTCAAAAACCCACCACTATGAATAATTTTCATTTCTTAAAGATAAACAAGTCTTTTGTTGATAATAAGTTAATAGCAGGAAATCAGTAACTGATACCTAAAAAGAATGTATATTTACACAATGTCCCCCAGTCCCACTATAATCACAGTAACTGATCGATTCCCTAATATTCTTCTAGCTGCATTGCCTAAAACAGAAGTTAAATGACAATCAATTTTATAGGAAACCAATCTCAAAATCGTAATGCAATGGGACAATTGGGTATAT